TAAAACAAGTTTGATGTTGGTAAAAGGATTAAATACAAAAATTATATTAGGCAATCCATTTTTACAAATGCTTTATCCTTTTAAAGTAACAGAAAGAGGAGTAGAAACCAATATTTTAGGGCAAAGTATTATATTTAAATTTATTTATTCAGTCTCTAACCATGAAATTAATCTTTTCCAAAAGCAAAATATTTCAAAGCTAACTGAACAAATAAACTTTTTAAAAGAAGAAATCAAAACCATAAAAATTGAAGAAGAATTAGAAAGTAAAGAAATACAAAATAAAATAAAGCAGATACAAGATGAATTTGTGAAAAATTTATGTTCTGATTTACCAACTGCATTTTGAGAAAGAAAGAAGCATGTTGTTACTCTTCCCTATGAAAAAGATTTTAATGAAAAGAATATACCAACAAAAGCTAGACCAATTCAAATGAATCAAGAATGGTTAGAATACTGTAAAAAAGAAATACAGGATTTATTAAACGAAGGACTAATTAGAAAAAGTAAGTCACCATGGTCATGTGCTGCATTTTATGTCAATAAAAATTCAGAAATTGAAAGAGGAGCACCTAGGCTAGTCATAAACTACAAACCACTAAATAAAGCATTAAAATGGATTAGGTATCCAATTCCCGATAAACAAGATTTATTAAAAAGGTTATACCAAGCACACATATTTTCAAAATTTGATATGAAATCAGGATTTTGGCAAATTCAAATAGCGGAAGAAGACAAATATAAAACAGCATTTACTGTACCATTTGGACAATGACCTTGTTTGGACAATAGCAGTTGGCAGTTGGTAGTTGGCTGTTTATGTTAGCTGGTTTGAATGGCTGATTGAGTTAGCTGTTTTGACCGGCTGTTTCTGTTAGCAGTTAAATTTTAAGTGTTTGGCAACTTTAGCTATTTATAGTTAGCTGTTTGTAAGTAAAATTAAATAAAAGGACATCCCTCCATTTATGGTATATTTTATTTTACAATTTTTTTAAATATCATATCATAAATATATTTTTTTTAAAATTAAAAATATTAAATAAAAAATTATATATATATGGAGTATTAAATTTTAATTTCATTTAATTCATAATAAATTATAAATATAAATTTTTTAATGAATTATAAATATAAATTTTTTTTAAATTTCATTTTATTTTTTTCGTATTTAATTTTTTTAACCTTTATTTTTATTTTTATTTTTTACATATATTATAAAATATCTTTCAACAAAAATGATTTTAATATTTTTCCTAACCGCCAAGTCCAAATGCTACTCCCCTTGGCATTTCAGATTTTGGCTTTTCAGATCAAAATGCCAAATGAAAATGCCATTAGCCAAACAATGGTTTTGGCGGTTCGCTTGGTCAAAAAAGCCAAAGTCAGTCAAAGATGCCAGAAGCTATCCAAATGCTGTTTTCCAAACACGGCCAATATGAATGGAATATAATGCCATTTGGTTTAAAAAACGCACCAAGTGAATTTCAAAATATTATGAATGAAATATTCAATCCTTACAACTTTATTATAGTTTATATTGATGATGTTTTAGTTTTCAGCAATGACATTGACCAAAATTTTAAACATTTGAACATATTTTACAAAGTAATTAAAAGAAATGGATTAGTTTTGTCAAAACCAAAAATGAAATTATTTCAAACAAAGGTAAGATTTTTAGGACATGAAATAAATAAAGGAACAATAACTCCTATACAAAGAGCAATTGATTTTGCAGAAAAATTTCCAGACGAAATAAAAGACAAAAATCAGTTACAAAGATTTTTAGGATTTTTAAATTATGTTGCAGACTTTTTCCCAAATCTTAGACAAATGTGTAGACCATTATTTGAGAGATTAAAAAAGAATCCTAAACCATGGACTAAAGATCATACAAAAACTATCCAAAAAATAAAGAAACATGTCAAGACACTACCATGCTTAAATATATGTGACCCTAAAGCCCTAAAAATTGTAGAAACAGATGCATCAGACAAAGGTTATGGAGGAATACTAAAACAAAAAATCGATAATAAGGAACATATTATTCAGGAATTTGGAACTCTACGCATGAAAAATATTCGACAATTAAAAAAGAAATTTTAGCAATAGTTCTTTGTGTCACAAAATTTCAGAGTGATTTATTAAACCAAAAATTTACAATTAAAGTTGACTGTAGAGCCGCAAAAGATGTATTAACTAAGGATGTTAAAAATCTAGCAGCAAAACAAATTTTTGCAAGATGGCAAGCTTTATTATCTATTTTTGATTTTGAAATTGTTCATATAAAGGGGAATGAGAATTCTACTCCCGATTTTCTTACAAGAGAATTTTTGCAGGGAAAGGATGAGCACAAAGACAAACAATACAAACAATCCAAGGACCAATCTTAGCGGATCATTTTCAAATCAAAATATTGACCAATCTTTGACCAAGAAGGAAATTGTGTATAACACAAAAATTCCTTTAAGAGAAATTACATTACGACCAATGACAAAAATTGCAGAATCATTAGAGCAAAAACTTCCGACCAATGAGAAAATGACAAATTATTCTTTATAGACCAATTGGACTACAAATACATTTTCTTTAAAACCATTCTCTCGACCAAGTGCACCAATCAATCAAACAAAAATTGAAAACAGATTCTCTCCTCTACAATTTCCGCCATCACCATCACCAGTAGAATTTAAACCAAAAAACAAATTTAAGTCAGGAAGATTCCAAATATTTACAAATGAATACAATATAACTCCTGGAAACAAAACATACAAGCCATATGAGAAAATGATACCTTCCCCTTTTAACCCATTTGTTACAACCACGATGACACCAAAATTGGTTAGTGAAGATTTACATTCTTTGGATAAAGACTTACAAAAAACAATAGAAGAACAAATATCTGGAAGAATTAAGGAATCACTATCTAAGCTTAAAAGGAGACCAACCACACCATACAAAGAAGTATCAGAAGAAAATCTCCGATTTTAGTTTCTCTATATTTCAATCCAAAAATATCCATTGTATTATATTTATATTTCTGCAAATTTATCAAAGTCTGTAACCATTACAAAATCAAGAATCAAGCTTGTAACCAGTTCTGATCAATAAAATCAAATCATTCTCTGCAAATAATTTGTATGTCAATTCTTATTACTCTTTTATTATTTTAATTTGTAAGTTAATTCTTATTACTCTTTTATTATTTTGTCCTGTATTTTCCATTATTATCACCATGTCCTCTTTTGCTTTGATGTTCCCTGGGTTCGTACATATATATATATATATATATATATATATATATATATATATATATATATATATATATATATATATATATATATATATATATATATATATATATATATATATATATATATATATTCAAGGGTAAAATGTAAATTATTATTACCCCAAATCAGAACGGTACATCAATGTCATATGCTGAACCATAGAAATGGTTCCGTGCATGTAATGCATACAAAAACAATACAACAGCAATACAACAGTACAACAACTTGGCACGCAGGCCATACAAATAAACAGTCAAAACGATCATCAAGGTGGTCAAACACAACAACTAGTAATCCCCGTCCGGGCTCTTGTGGACCTTCCAGTACCTTGCAACACTAGGCAGTAGTATGGTAGACCAAACCAGAGCATGGAGGGAGTATATGTTGGTGGCATCACAAGCCAAGCACATATACTCCCTCTCCAAGGACTCAATCTCACGAACACGCGATCCATCATCAACATCAAAGGTACGTCAAAAATCAATCCAAAATGTGTGTCATCCATCAAATCCATCCAAGGCAGGTGCTCAGTTATTTTTGCCAAAGATTCAACCAGTAAGCCAGGGGGCCATCCCCGAATGCCAGAAGTTGTCCACCATCGTCACGAAGGGCAAAGTCCAAAGTGACCCCACTCTGCCATACGGACCCCTCCCCTAGGTCTACGGCAAGAGTGCCCCCAGGTATTTGGAAAGCATCCCCCAACAGACGAAGTAGAAGTTCACTAGTAGTCTCAAAAGCCTTCATCTAGTATTTCCCTCGGTTGAGTTCAGAAACAACACGTAGATAGGCAAGACCCAGCGAAAACAACCTCCTCGACTCGAGAAAAAGCCCAGTTAGCTAGAAGATCCACTTCATAGCTAAGATAGCCCAAAGTCTTCCAAAAACCCCAACCGAAAGGGTCAGGAAGAAAATAAGGGCGGCCTGCCAGGAGGACCAAACTGGCAAAAGTAAACGTCAGACCCATCTCAAAATGAATTGGGATTCCACCAGAAATGAGGCCTATATATATATATATATATATATATATATATATATATATATATATATATATATATATATATATATATATATATATATATATATATATATATATATATATATATATATATATATATATATATATATATATATATATATATATATATATATATATATATATTTTGGTTCTGGTGAGAATGCAATCTTAGGGGAGAAATGAGATTGAATCTGGTGCTTTGGATTGTGAAATCTAAGGGTCAAGATTTCATCAAAATTAGATGCACCAAAATGGTTCGAAAATGCATCACGTCGAAATGCACCATAAACCTTCGAAAATGCACTATCTCAAAATCTGAGCGTAGGATGTAATCTGAGCCACACGATGCATCAGATTTGACGGCTAGATTTTATTCTCATTTCTCTCCACAAAGTGCATTCTCACGGGAACCAGCCCCTATATATATATATATATATATATATATATATATATATATATATATATATATATATATATATATATATATATATATATATATAGCCATAAAAACTTGTCTAAGATGGCCCCACTCTGCTTAAAAAGAAAAAGGATTTTGTCTCCTTAATGTAGCCAAAACGGACCTTGACACTCCTTCTCAAAGGATAGTAAGATTCAAATTTCAAAAACCGTCCAACCCGGCGTAGTGTTGAAAACAGCAGTACACAATAGTAGGACCAACAGCCTAGCAGGAGATACATCCAAGAGAGTAAAGTTATCTAGCTAAAAGCCAGTCAAAAGTGGGCAAACCATACATAAAAGACCAAAATGCCTTAATGCAGCGGGAACCGAAATCAGAAGAGCTGAAAACCCAAAAAGCTATGGAACGAGCAGCATGAACCAATCAACCTATTACGGGGTTCCAACGACCCAAGTGTACTTGAAGATGTGCTTTAGGTAAGCATGCTCTAATTAATATGATCCAACCACAATGTGAGCTGAATGACTCCCGTAGAAATCCAAAAAATACCAAAAAATATGCAGCTAAGGAAGATATATATATATATATATATATATATATATATATATATATATATATATATATATATATATATATATATATATATATATATATATATATATATATGATATATAATGGGTTCTAGAGAGAGAAACCCTCCGGCCGGCAACCACCATCGGCGGCCGGAAACATCTAACGCCAGACCACGCCTCTTCTCCGAAGTGGTAAAAGAAAGCTTCCTTGGGCAAATCAAGAATGAGGGGGCAGCAAGTCCTGTGCTTAGTTTCTCCCATGATGAAATCCTTGAGCTGTCCAGCAAGTTCAAATATGGTGTAATTGGAAGGATGGCAAAACCAGTTCCAAACCATGAAATAGGAGATAGTCTGCAACGGGCCAGATTTGGAGGCTTTAAGGTCAGCTCTCTAACCCAATCACAAGTTCTCATTAACTTCCTGGACGAAGAAGACTTCTACAGGCTTCTTTATCGGCGTACATGGTTAGTAAATGGGTGTCGGCTCTACCTCTCAAGATGGACTCCTCACTATCTCCAATCTATTGATAATCCAAAACTTCCCATTTGGGTTACCATCAAGAAGATACCAATACATCTTCAAGATCCTAGGGCCCTTCTTTCCATCTCACAACTGATCGGAAACCCTATCAAGATGGATGCCCGAACTTATCAAGCTGAATATCTCAATACTGCCAGGGTCCTTATTGAGATTGATTTATCCTCCCAGCTCCCTAAAAATATAAAGATTAGAACAGGTGAATTCCTTCACTCCCTCCCGGTCTCCTTTCATAATGTCCCTAGTTACTGTAACAAATGCAGTAGGTTTGGTCATTGTTGTTCCACTACATCTTCCACC